TTTGATAATCTAACAAACTTGCTGTCAAGAACCAGATTGGGAACCTGACACACTTGGGCTACATTGCAAATCAACGGAGTCCAGCTAAATATGAACTGCTATAGCTTTAGGAGATAGAGAACCAGACAAGGACCTGATATCCTTGTTGTTTACTCATAGCAGTACGAGGTCAATTGGATACAGTTGGAAGCGACGTGACTGCCTGCACTGTTGCTACCTGAGCTGCACTGTTTCCAGCGGTCATTTGTCCTTTGACCAACTAAAGTGCATATATCATTCAAGTGATGTCATAAAGGTGTATTAACAAGAAGATTATATCAAGACATCACTTGAACAATTGAACATTTTTTACTTCAAGCATTCAAGACTTCTGAAAAACAGAAAACTCAATCCTCAAGAGCTTGAAGAACAAAGTAAAACCCTACTACGGACCAGTTCCTAAATCGAGTATTCTGTTATCTTTAGTTGAGTTGTAACTTTGTGATTGTTCTTATTGTAGTTCCTAAATTGCTTAGTGAGAAGCGGTACTTAGGAACCCCTCTGTAAAATCATAAACTTTCTGAGTTTGTGTTGTGACTAGAGTTAGTCATAAGTTAAATCCTTTGTAACTAGTGAGTGACAAAGTGGCTTGTGATTAGTGTATTACAAGTTAGAGTGATTGAAGTTTTTGTAACTAGTGAGTGACAAAGTGGCTTGTGATTAGTGTATTACAAGTTAGAGTGAGTGAAGTCTTTGTAATAGAGTCATTACAAAGTGATTTGTAATCGAGTGTTTACAAGTTAGTGAAGTTGAAAGCTTACAAGTGTAGGTCGTGGTTTTTTTCCCCTTGTTTCCACGTAAAAATTCCGTGTCTCATTTACTTACTGTCTCATTAGTATTCTCAGTGGAAACTCGTAGAGGACCATGTACTCTGTAGTTTGGTGGACTCGTATAAACTAACAAATTTGTTACAAAATTTAGAAAGGGATCATTCTTTTTGAAACTACCAAAAAAAAAATAAGTTCACGTAAACTGAAACAGAGGGAGTACTATTCGACATCTTTTTCCTTCTTCTTCCACTTTCTCTGCATTCTATTTCTTTTTCTTTTTGTGAAAAAAAAAAAGACTAAGTAATATTATCCTCTTTTGGTCAAAGAAAGTTAATGTCAATAAATATGTTATCTTCCTTGGGCGGTGCCGTTTCTTGTCAATATTTGAAGATCAAGCTATGTCCTTTTTCTAGTCGTTGGTCAAGCCCAGCAAGAAAGCTATACGTTATTAACGGTCAGTCAATTATTTCTTCTTCTTATGTTCCTTAAACAGTGGTTTCCTAAAATTAAACAATTTTAAGGTTGTCTAGATATGAAACACGCAGAAATGCCTAGTCACTAAAATATTTGAATTTATTACTCCTTTTTGTCTTAAACTTGTATGCTTTGTCAATGTTAGATTGTGTTATTTATTTGCTTGTTCTCAGCTTAATCGTGGGATTTGCACCCGTATCTTGGGACTTTCTTGTGATATTACCAAACTAGCACTTTATTTAAATATATAAATTGTTTGTTGGTTATAAGTAATTTTCATCCACGACCAATTTGTGGCATTATCTATTGCTCTTTACAAGTCTCTTTATTTTCTACAGCACCACCGTCCAATCTTATTCCAAAAATCAATCAAACAATTAACCATAATGACAAAATTGCCTAAACTACCAGCTCCACTCCCATTTATTTCTTTAGAAATATATCTACACCCTAAGATATCACTTGTTACCACGTGTCACTAACATCTCTTCCAGCGTGGCAGCTATCAAAATCCAGGACAACAATGACTAAAGGCGGAGTCAGGTGAAGTTTATGAGTTCTAAACTTATTATCGAACCATAGCTCGTTTTGTAACTGTGTTCGCAATTAAACATTTATACATATTTAATGAATTTTCTAATGTAAAAATATAGTGTAAGTAAAAGTTACTGGGTTCGTCCAAACCCGTCAGCTATACTGTCCCTCCGCCCCCGAGTCAATGACACAAACATTTTGGTTCAAGCTTTGGAGAGGTCCCTATCTATAACCATGAATCTCAAAACTTTACTGTATTCTTTCACTTTTCGTGTAATCCAAGTTATAAATTCTCTTTTCTTTATTGAGACAAGATTTGATTACAAAATAAACCATTTTGGTACGACGATGTATCAAAGATCTCTAGGTACGCTTCTAAAGAGGATTAACTACTAAATTACAGTGATATAGATAAATATTAGGTAAAAGTTAAGTATGCTTGTACTCTTTCCTTTTCAAAATCTAGAGATAATATGTATGGTTTGTCTTCCGTTTAAAAGAATGATGTATTTGCAGTATGATAATCCAAACATTTAATTGTTTCTAGTGTAAATTCAGTTATATCTTAATTTGTGAAATAAAGTTTATCTGAAGAAACTATAAAAGGTAGTACTAGTACTTAATTCACAATGTTTTGTAATTAAAAGTATTTCAAAAAGTGTTTAACGGAATCGTAATCCAAATAAAGATAATTTAATCCGAAAATGATAGTAGCATACTATAAACTTAATGAGACAAAAATATTTCATTGAAATAAATTGTTCCCGTGGCATGACAACTATGCTTTCTACATCCTTAGCAACAGATTGACTGCTCCTATCAGGAGTGTTCAAACCTAACCGGAAAACCGTAACAAAATAAAAAACTAAACCAAATCGATTAAAAAATCCGACTAGGTTTGGTATTGAGTAAAAAAATCCGAACCAAACCGATATATAAATATATAAATTTTATTTATATATTTAAGACTTTATAGTGATTTTTCTTTAGAAAATATAGAAATATTTGGGATCCTCTCATGTATTAACCTTGAAATTTTAAATTACCGAAAAATTATTGTTAGACGACTAAGAAAATATTCATGTGTTACTAAACAAATACTCCCATTAGAAAATTTTAATAGATCATATGTTTGTCAATTTTTTCCATATTTACTAAACATATATTCACTTATCAAAGCTTTATCTATAATTTTAACAAAGTAAGATTGAAATAATATTAATGTATGAAATAATATTCATGTAACAAAAAAATCCGAAAACCCGAAAAACCCGAAAAAATCGAACCAATCAAAACTGATATAGTTGGTTTGGTTTGGTTTGATAAAAACCGAACTAACCTGGTCCATGTACACCCCTAGCTCCTATTATATATTCCCTTTCTCAATTTATGTGATGTATTTCCTTTTTTATTTCGTACCAAAAAGAATGAAAATTTTCTAATTCAAGAAGTAATTTAACTTTGACCTTTTATTTTATTGTTTATTACGATGATTTATAACTACACAAATATCTATGAGTAATTTAGCATGATAATTTAAAATAAATTCTTTTTTTCTTAATTATGTACTAATCAAAATGCATCACATAAAATGGGATAACAATACTAAAAAAGGGGAGAAAACCGATCGACTGCCAAAGCCGACCGATATTGGTCGGTAATTGGCAAAAATCGACCGAAAATCGATCGATACGTGGCGGTCGGTAATTGTATGATCGGTAGTGTCAACCGACCGATTTCGGTCGGTCAATTAAATTCCAAAAAAGAAATTTTTTTCGAAAAACCGACAATCGAATCGGGGTCTTGTACTGTGGCAGGATAATATTCTACCACTAGAACATTGATGTATTTTATTTTAAGACTGTCTTTTATTTTATTTATGCTCTTTAATTGCATTTTTGCGCAAAATTACCGACCGATATCGGTCAGTTTTATTTAAAAAAAAATTACCTACAAAAAGCGGTCGGTTTTTTTAAAATGAAAGGCCGAAATAACCGACCGATTTCGGCCAGTTTTTTGAATAATAATTTAAATTTATTTTAATTGAAAAACCGACCAAAGTTGGTCGTTTTTTTGAAAAATAAATTTCGCGGGACGCAAAAATAATTTCCCACATTTTTGTACAAAAAAAATCGACTAGTCGGTTTCGTAAAAAAATATTAAAAATAAAATATTTTGAGGAAGAGAGATAACCTGAGACACATTAAAATGCGTTCGATGGAGCCATTTAGGGTTGATTAATTCTTGACCGGACGACTTGATCATGGCGTTTAACCTGTGGTAAATGCATGATTGCAAAAAATACACACTACTCAATGGAAGCGCCGCGGCAAGCCCTCCATTGACAAATGGCTTCAGTGATGGCCACACACTGTTCTGAAACTACTCTCACAAACTTTCACCATTGGCTTTTCTTTTCCATACGTCATATTCAACTCTAAATCTTCCATTTTCTTGAATATAGGAAGAAAAGGTGTTTTCAGTTTTGTGGCCTACTAGAGTTTTCTTGTATTTCTCATTTCAATAAATTTGGGGTTTCAGTGTGGGTGCTGTTGCAGTGTGCAGTGGGTAACGAATAATAATTGAAATTTATTTTAAATAAAAAACCGATCAAAGTTGGTCGTTTTTTGAAAAATAAATTTCATCGGGACGCAAAAATAGTTTTTTGTATTTTTGCACGAAAAAAAACCCGACTAAAGTTGGTCAGTTTCGTAAAAAAATATCTAAAAATAAAATATTTTTAAAAATCTGACAGACTTTGATCAATTTTTTCGGCCGATGTTTTGACCAACCGTCGGTCGACGGCGATCGATTTTGACCGAATTTCTAATACCATAAAAGCTTGAGAACTACATGTTTCTAACTTTCAACCAAGGATTACACCCCATCATAGGGGGAGTATTAAATAATGTTGTTATTCATGAAATCATGCAACAAGATCTTACAGTACTGATTAAGAGGCCACCCATTAAAAGTACATTTGTGGTCTATAAACAATATCCTTTTAAGTGAAAAACAGAAGCTTCTTGCAGTTTCTAGGTGACCCCACTCCTACAAATAATTTGTTAGCAATATATATTACACCAATCTTTTTATTTTTATTTTTTATTTCTTGATATTTATTCTTTAATTTCCTCATACTCTCTATATATAACACTTGAGACCGGTTTCAACATTCCAAATCATTCAACATTTAAAGACAAAGAACTAAACGCTCTTTCATCTTGTCACCTGTCACCTTGTCTTCTCAAGCAAAATAATTAGGGTATCCTCTTTTCTTGCAATACACCTGAAAGTTATAAACTTTATAGCTTTATCCTTTTCTTAGTTAAGGCCAAAATGGGAGTTGCAGGGACGTTGGAATACTTATCTGAAGTACTTAGCAGCGTTAAGAAACACAAGAAAAAGAAACAGATCACTACTGTTGCTGTCAAGATTAGAATGGACTGTGAAGGTTGTGCTCGTAAAGTCAAGAATGCTCTCTCCCGAGTCAAAGGTACCACAATTTTCTAAAGAATTTCCTCTCATCTCTCTACCTATTTTATTTTATATGAAAAAAATTATCTTTACAAACATGCTATGTTAATTATATAAGAGTATGCTATTAAAAGGTAAAAGAAAATATTAAATTAAAGAGTCTTTAAATAGAGTTTAAGCTCTACGCACGGTTTGTGAATCGTGCAAAAAGTATTTGTATAATCCGCCAGTTATATGATAATTACACATAAATTTCTTGATAAACATTATTTCGTATCTTTATAACAACAGTAACGTAACTACACTGCTATCACGTATAATTTCCTGATAGGGTAAAAAGATCTTTACATTATTTTTATATATATAACTTAAATTCTTTAGAATATAAGGAGGTTATCAATCTTCCCAACAGTATCAAAAGAAAATATTTATCATATGAAAAAAAACAATGTGAGTTATCTATTCTTTCTAACTCTTTTAAAAGATGTAAATTAATGCGGTTTTGTTGAAATGGATAGGCGCAAAATCAGTGGATGTGGATTTAAAGCAACAGAAAGCAACAGTAACAGGATTTGTGGAACCTAAGAAAGTGTTGAAAGCAGCACAAGCTACTGGAAAGAAGTGTGAACTGTGGCCATATGTGCCATATAGTCTGGTGGCACATCCTTATGTAGCTGGAGTTTATGACAAGAAGGCTCCTCCCAATTTTGTTAGAGCCACTAATGATCCAGCTGTTGCTCACCTAAATCCAGTGGAAGAACAATATACTCTCATGTTTAGTGATGAAAATCCAAATGCCTGCTCCATTATGTAGCTATAATATTAGTGCATGTCTTAATTCTTGTATTTAATTTTTCCCTTCTTCCTAATAGATTTGTCCTAGTTCACGAGTAGATGATAGAGCTGAGGGTCTATCGGAAACGGCCTCTCTATTTTTATAAAATAGGGGTAAGGTCTAGTACATACTACCCTTCCCAGACCTCATATATGGGTTTTGTTGTTGTTGTTATTGTTGACGAGTAGCTGATATCATAGGATTCCGAAGAAACTATCAGAAGTGTATTTTATTAAGGAGAAATCGACTATGTATAAAGTATATATATTACACATTAATGGTCTATTTCGGATATATCTTTGTCTTCTTTTAACTCTGGGATTTTATTAAAATTTTGAAGGAACTCATAAAAGAAAAGTCACTATTCACTTCTATCGGGAAACATTATCGTTTACAAAAAAAAAAGACGGTGAGATCAAGAATTTCGATTTGGAAAGAGTCATGATCGGTCAATAAGAGGAATTTCGATTTTATTTTCCAAATATTGAAAGTCTAAAAACATATTGGTTCTCACAACTTGTACAGGTGATCATCGGACCTTTAATTGTGTTAATTCACACATAGTATTGGAGAAGAGCTAGATATAAATCTTGTATGTGTGTGTAACTAGCTAATTGAAGACTTGCCGTTGAGCAATTAGTATGTGCAATGATGTTTACATCAAACTGTGCAAATTAATTACCACGATCAACTCAAAAATTAAGGTATGTATATTTGTATACGGGTAAAACTGGTAAAACTGAGGCTAATGAGCACCCCGATTTTTCGGAGGGGCAAATGAAGCAAGGACATAGTTACATGGAATCGGAGCTAGCTAGGAACCTCTTGTACTAGGGCCCGAGCGAAACGCTTTCCACCGGAGCCATCGAGACGACGCCCCTCGAATCCAGTTCAAGCTCCAAGACCTCGGAAAGCATTACCAAACGGTTGCACACGACTAACGAAGGGCCGTGAATTATCCGCGCTTAACCGGGTATCACGGCGTGGATTTCGGCCCGTATCAGCAGCATATCAGTGATTAACGAAAAAGAAGATTTTTTTACCTTTCTTAGAGTTATACTAGGGATGAAACTTTCCTACTATATAAAGGGAGTGATTTTTATTCAAGAAACACACTGTAACATGCATATCAAGGTAATATAGACTTGTTTTCTCTGCTTCTAAGCTATTCAAAGGTTCTTATTTTTGTTCACAGCTCTTCATATATATATTTTGCTCTGAATCGAGGGCAGCACAATTGTTAAGCTTAGACCGGAGCCCGGACCTAACATCACAACTGGTTTGGTTATTCATTTTACCTTTAATTTGCTTATCTAACGTTATTGATCACTTGTATTGAATCAATCCACCTATCCTTAAAACCGTGTATAAATTCAATTGTTATCCATTTCTGAAGGCCTGGACTCCAAGAAATTTGTCCAACAGCCTTTTTCTTCGAGCGCGACACTGAAGCCAATCCCGAAGTTTCGTATGCCCGATATTCCGAAATATAATGGAATCACGGATCCAGATGAGCACGTGACCTCCTACACGTGTGCCATCAAGGGGAACGATTTGAAAGATGACGAAATCGAGTCGGTTTTGCTAAAGAAGTTCGGAGAAACTCTGTCAAAAGCAATGATATGGTATCAATACTTACCCCCAAATTCTTTTGATTCGTTTGCTATGCTTGCAGATGCTTTTGTGAATGCGCATGCCGGGACCATCAAGGCCGAGATCAGAAAATTGGATCTTTTCAAGGTAAAACAAAGAGACAACGAAATGCTCTGGGAGTTCGTATCAAGGTTCCAAATGGAACGGATGGACTTGCCTGCGGTTGCGGATGATTGGGACGTTCAGGCATTCACTCAAGGACTTAACTCCCGAAGCTCCTTGGCTTCACATCAACTAAAAAAAATTTGGTAGAGTACCCGACGGTAACTTGGGCCGACGTCCACAACAGGTACCAGTCAAAAATCAAAGTCGAGGACGATCAGCTCGGGGCCCCCTCTGGGTCCGTTTATCCCATCAGAGCCAACAACAGGTCTAGAAAAGTCGTCGATCATGAGCCGAGACCGAATAGAGATCGGTACCAATCGTATAACAAAGATCGAAGGGGTAACAGATCTGGGCATCACCCTACGAGGAACAAGAGAGGAGTGATCAAGGCCACAGTAGCCGGGGCTCGATGAGCAACAATGGTTTCGATAGGCCACTCGGGGCCAGGGAGGCACCAAGGTTATCGGTATATAATTTCAATGTCGATGCTCCCAGCATCGTATCTGCCATCGAGCACATCAAGGATACCAAGTGCCCTCAACCATTGTTGTCCGACCCTACCCAGAGAGACCCTAACTTGATGTGTAAATATCATGGCACTCATGTCCACAGGACCGAGGAATGCTGACAATTAAGAGAAGAAGTCGCCCGATTATTCAATAACAGGCATCTCTAGGAATTTTTGAGTGATCGAGCCAAAAATCACTTCAGGAACAGGGACTCCAACAAATAGACCGAACAAGAAGAACCTAAGCACGTCACCAACCTGATCATTAGAGAGGTCGATGTCCCCCAGGGACCAATGATAAATCTGTCACGACCCGGATTTCCCACCATCGGGATCGTGATGGCGCCTACTCGTGGTAGCTAGGCAAGCCAACTTATTTACCTTTTCATCACTAAACAATTATTTTAACAATTTATAGCATCAATATAGAACATGAAATTTACTAAGAATAATAGCGGAAGTCTGATTTATAAATCTGAATCAAAACGCGGAACGGTTAATAATAGCCTCTACCCAAGATTTGGTGTCACATCACTCACGAACCACTAAGAATATACTAAATACAAAGGTTTGAAAGAAACATAGAAGCTGTCTGTCTCAAGACAAGGAGGCAACAGTCTAAAAGAGAACATAAAGAAGAGACGCCGGGCCTGCGGACGCCTGCAAGGCTACCTCGGTCTCGTGATAATGAAAGCCTGGTCCCGTACTAATGCTGCTGCTGCTCCTCAAAACCTGGACCTGTGCAAAAATGCACAGAAGCGTAGCATCAGCACAACCGACCCCATGTGCTGGTAAGTGTCTAGCCTAACCCCGGCGAAGTATTGACGAGGCTAGACCGGACACCACATAAACCTGTGCAGTTATAAATATACAACGGAAACAAAATACCAAACAACTGGAATATGGGAGGGGGAAACTTGCTGTAGGGAGATAACAATAGTAAGAGTAATGCTGAGTAACAAACTAAAGCAGCTTACATTCACAATGAACAAGGAAAACAATACTCAATATATACACATGGTATCAATAACTGTTGCGGCGTGCAACCCGGCCCACAATTTACCATTGTTGCGGCGTGCAACCCGATCCACAAATACAACTGTTGCGGCGTGCAACCGATCCACAAATACCACTGTTGCGGCGTGCAACCCGACCCACATCATTTATCATGTATCATTGTTGCGTCGCGCAACCCGATCCTCACATATTATTGTTGCGGCATGCAACCCGATCCTCAATATCTTTGTTGCGGCGCGCAACCTGATCCACATCATTTAGCAGTCTGACTCCCCAAACAACAGCCACGATTAAGAGGCATAAAAACAAAGCAAATATTTGACAAAAATCCCGGTAAGGAAAAGAAACCAACAAGTTCAACCAAACGTCCCGGCAAGGGAATAATCAACAATGCTTTCTCTTTCTTACTTTTCTTATCTTATAATCCACTTTACCATCTTGAGCCCACGCTCCACAGATTCAAGTCATTTTATATACTTTCAATATTCGTATCACAATTCGAGCCAATGCTCCTAGGATCAACTGATCATATCACCTTTCACATGTTATTCACAACATATAGAAATCCTCCAATAAACACGGAGTTCACAACCAAGTCATGATAATCACATTATAAGGACTCACGGTCATGCTAGACACCAATGTATAGATACTCGTCACCATGCCTATACATCGTACTCGATCACATAGCAATTAGCAACAAGATTCAACTCCTATTCCCTCAAGCTAGGGTTAAACCAAACACTTACCTCAAAGCCTTGAAATCCACTTAATCCTCAACTATCGCTTTACCTCGCGGTTCCACCTCCAATTCGCTCGAATCTAATCACAAATTGTTCAATTACTTTAATAAACACTATATGAATCAATTTGAATGCATAAAAAATGATTTTCCCAGGTTTTTCCCAAAAATTCCAAAAATGCCCCCGGGCCCACGTGGTCAAAACCCGAGGTTCGAACCAAAACCCGGTTACCCATTCCCCACGAATTCAAATATGTAATTTGTTTTGAAATCGGACCTCAAATCGAGGTCTAACTCCCCAATTTATAGAAAACCTAGGTTCTACCAAAAAAACCCCAATTTCACCCATGAAAATCCTTGATTTTTAAGTGAAAAACATGTTTAATGATGTTAAAGACTGAAAGAATTGAGTAAAAATCAACTTACAACTGATTTGGGATGAAGTTTGCTCTTGAAAAATTGCCTATGGTGTTTGGGTTTTGAAAGAATGGTGAAAAGTGATGAAAATTCTACTAAGTATAAAATTTGCGGGGCCTCGGATATGGGAATTTCGAACCTGGGTTCGCAATTGCGAACCAAACAGGGCTGGGAATTGCGAGATTTCAGTTCGCATTTGCGAACACTGGGCCTCAATGCAGACTTCGCATTTGCGAAGTAATGATCGCATTTGCGATCTGGGCCCTCTCGCATTTGCGAGCAAGGGCGTCGCATTTGCGACTACAGCCCATTTTCCCACTCTTCGCACTTGCGAAAGATTGATCGCATTTGCGATCTGGCCCAGATTTCCCCTTCTTCGCATTTGCGATGGGAATTCGCATTTGCGAGTCTTCCTTCGCAAATGCGATGCCAACAGACCTGACCTGCAACTATTTTTTTCAAAGTTCAAAAATGCAACTCGACACCTATCCAAAACTCACCCGAGCCCTCGGGGCTCCAAACCAAACATGTACACAACCTCAAAAACATCCTACGGACTTGTCCGTGCGATCAAATCGCCAAAACAATATCAAAATCATTGAATCAAGCCCCAAATTCATCATTTTTCATTATAACTTCATAAACTTCAAACTTTAGATATTTAGGTCCGAAACACGTCAAATGACGTACGATTTCGACCAAACTTTACAGAAAGCGCTTAGCACATATTTAAGACTTGTACCGGGCGTCGGAACCATAATACGAGCCCGATACCACAATCTTTTAATCAATTTTCATTTTCTTTTTCCTTAATAATTTCAGAGAAACAATTTCACAGAAAAATTCTTTCCTCGGGCTCTAGACCTCGGAATTCGACTCCGGGCACATGCCCGAGTCCCATATTTTTCTACGAACCTTCCGAGACCATCCAATCTCGGGTTCGGGTCCGTTTAGCCAAAATGTTGACCAAAGTCAACTTTAATCATATTAATATCAAAATCATCATTTTTCACACATAATTCATATTTAAGCCTTCCGGCTACACGCTCGGACTGCGCACGCAAATCGAGCCAAGTAAAAATGAGGTTTTCAAGACCTCGGAAGCACGGAGTGGATGAGGAAATAGGTGATGACCCTTTGGGTCGTCACATCCTCCACCTCTAAAACAACCGTTCGTCCTCGAACGGACAAAAGAAAGAAGTACCTGAGTCTAGGAACAGATGTGGATAACGGCTCCGCATATCAGACTCGGACTCCCAAGTCGAGGCCTCAGGGGGCTGACCTCTCCACTGAACACGAACAGAGGGAAAACTCCTAGATCTCAACTGACGAACCTGCTGGTTTAGAATAGCTACTGGCTCCTCCTCATAAGATAAATCCTTGTCCAACTGGACAGTGCTGAAGTCTAACACATGGGTAGGATCGCCGTGATACCTCCGAAGCATAGACACATGAAAAACTGGATGCACGGCCGATAAGCTAGGTGGCAATGCAAGTCTATAAGCCACCTCTCATACTCGATCAAGAATCTCAAACGGGCCAATGTACCTAGGGCTAAGCTTACCCTTCTTTCCGAACCTCATCACGCCCTTCATAGGCGACACCCGGAGCAATACCCGCTCACCAACCATAAAAGCTACATCTCGGACCATACGGTCTGCATAACTCTTCTGCCTAGACTGAGCTGAATGAAGCCTCTCCTGAATGATCTTGACCTTATATAAGGCCTCCTGAACTAAGTCTGTACCCAATAACCGAGCCTCTCCCGGTTCAAACCATCCGACTGGAGACCGACATCGCCTACCATACAACGCCTCATATGGGGCCATCTGAATGCTGGACTGGTAGCCATTATTGTAGGCGAACTCTGCTGAAGGCAAAAACTGGTCCCACGAGCCTCCAAAATCAATGACACAAGCTCAGAGCATATCCTCCAAAATCTGTATAGTCCGCTCGGACTGACTGTCCATCTGAGGATGGAATGCTGTGCTCAACTGAACCTGGGTGCCCAACTCTTGCTGAACTGCTCTCCAGAAGCGCGAGGTAAACTGCGTACCCCGGTCCGAAATGATGGATACCGGCACACCATGAAGGCGGACAATCTCCCGGATATAAATCTCAGCTAACCTCTCGGATGAATAGGAGACTGCCACTGGAATGAAATGCGCTGACTTGGTCAGCCTATCAACAATGACCCAACTAGCATCAAACTTCTCCCGAGTCAACGGAAGTCCAGTAACGAAATCTATGGTAATCCTCTCCCACTTCCACTCGGGGAGCTCAATCCTCTGAAACAACCCACCGGGCCTCTGATGCTCATACTTGACCTGCTGACAGTTCAAACACCGATCCACATACGCAACAATATCCTTCTTCATCCTACGCCACCAATAATGTTGCCGCAAGTCCTGATACATCTTCGCGGCACCCGGGTGAATAGAATACCGAGAACTATGGGCCTCCGCTAAGATCAATTCTCGAATCCCATCAACATTGGGCACACAAACTCGCCCCTGCAATCTCAATACACCATCATCATCTAAGGTCACCTTCGTGGCACCTCCACGCTGCACCGTGAATCTCAGGACACACAAATGGGGATCATCAAACTGCCGGTCACGGATACGCTCCAATAGAGAAGAACGAGTGACCGTGCAAGCTAACACTCTGCTAGGCTCAGAAATATCTAATCTCACCAATTGATTGGCCAAAGCCTGAACATCTAAAGCAAGCGGTCTCTGGCTGACCAGGATATAAGCAAGACTACCCATGCTGGCGGACTTCCTACTCAACGCATCGGCCACCACATTGGCCTTACCCGGGTGATACAAGATGGTAACATCATAATCTTTCAACAACTCCAACCACCTCCTCTGCCTCACATTCAAATCCTTCTGCTTGAACAGGTGTTGAAGGCTCTTGTGATCCGTGTACACCTCACACG